CTATTAGTCCTGAAAGAAAAGAGCCATTACCGCCCAAAGCATTTTGAAACAGATTTATTTCTCCTCTTTTCCTTCCTAATAATTTCTAGAGTACCTTTCATCCAACACAATCAGAGTACTTTAATTTAGAAGTCTATTTAAAACTCCAGCTATGCCTATTACTGATGCAAAGAAGTTAAACAGCTCGTACATGCAAAGCAGGATGTTGGACAACCAAGAATTAAGCCTACACATTTTTCCACGTTCTACTCTGGAACTTTAGACAAAACCACCTATCCTCAGCTGATCTGCTCTTAATTTTTGGCTTCCTCCTTTGCGTTCCCAATTGGTTACACTGACCTGTTGCCACCTGACGAACCAGAACGGTGTTCAATTTGATGACAGGACTGAACGTGTGTTTACTATCCGCTGTTGATGCCAGGATTTTACTGTGACACTTCAGTACCAGTTTATCATCTTGTTTCTGCAACAGCACCAGAATGTCCTCCAGAAGCAGAGTGTAGAGATCTGCACAGAGTGCAAAAGAACTCAGAATGAGTTAAAGATTCATAGTTTTATATCACACCCCTGCAGAAAGAAAAAGGCTGCATTTTTGATTACTCATGCAGAGGCAGTAATCAGTGCTATGCCATTCTAGGCGAAGCTTGCAAATCTTCCTCATCAAAACTACAGCAGAAAGCTACAGATGGAATTGGATCATCTCATGACTGACTGCTGTGTCCCTGCATGGCCTTAATGACACTCTAGCACATTTCAGAATTGACAAGAATAATTTAATCAGCTCTGAGAAACACACAGGCATTATTATAGGTGGCAGTAAGGATCATAACTGGAAACTGCAAAACGCTTTATTTTTCTCTCCTTCTCAGCAAACACACAGAAACCCAACTTACGTCAGTTGATGGAACAGGACTCACCGATAGTTTTGTCACGATTAACCTTCCAAATTAGAGGTCCCTCATGAAGCATTTTTCTCTTTGTTAGATCCAAGTTCTGTCACCAGGGGAAAGAAAAAGAAGTAGCCCTATGAAATTTCTGCAGAAGCAAGTAACAGTAAAGCATGGGAATGTCAGAGGGAAGGCTAGAACAGGCACTCCAGTTTGGAGATGAGCAGCTAAACTCAGTCTGGAAAAAGAAAAGTGGAGCAGGAGAAGGGTATGCTTCTAAACTAGAATCTTGTAAGAGGTGTTTGTTATCACTCTTCTGCATTCATTGCTCTTTTGCAGATGCTGGGGTCACAGGGTAGAACATTTTCCTACTAAGGCATTAGGATGTCATCTGATTTCTAGGAGGAGTTTTTCCAATATCCCATATAAAGTTTGCAGTTCTAGTATTACAACTGGTTAATGCTTCAGCACTTGATTTGCAAGCGAAGCGTGTGTACAAATGATATACTTATATACAAATCATCCCAATGATCTGATGGACTTTATAATGTCAATGGATTCTTCAGTCATTTCAATGCTTGTGACATTTAGATCTGCAGGCAAGAAGTGACAATTTTCACAAGTCATTCCTTCCAAGTTGCAGAGTCTATGATCAATGACAGCAAGATTTCATAACTGCCAGTAAGTTCTTCATTTCCTAAGTAAATGCTTGCAAGTTTATTTGTGGAAGGCTACATGATACAGTTTTATACAAGAGTCTTCATGTAAAAATTTCTCTGGATACACACTGACTTTGGAGAAGATAGGGGAGTGATAAATAAACAACACAGAATCTATACAAGACACAGGAATAGACAGTAGCAAAAATTAATAACTGCGGATAAAGTACCAAATCATGAGGAAAAGGTGCAGAAGCGAAGGGAGAAGAGTCCTTGTGTAGAAGTTACCTATCTGGAACATGTGTGAAAGGAAAAAAAAAAAAAAAAAAAAGAGAGAAAGGATTTGTTTCAAGTTGCAAGTGCCTATTGGTGCTCATCCTTCACTTGAAACATGAAAATTTTGTAAAGTTACTCCTGCTCCAAGGACGTTGACAGCAAGTAACCAGTTTCACTAACGTAACTGCAAGAATTTACAGAGCCCTGAAACACAGTACTTTTAGCACTGAACTTGGACTTTATTTGGCTATACCTGTGGATCTCCTACACAAATCAGCCTGTGTACAAGCTCTTATTTTAAAGCCAACTGCATTGCTACACCTCATGGCTCTCTGAGGCCTCCCCAGTTCCAACAGCACACCTAAGACGTGATCATGTGAAATATATATCCATAATAAGATTTATCATCCACCGGCTCTCTCTTATGTGATACAGAAATGCATTGGCTTGCAGACCATTAAGATTTGTTTCACAGAACTTACAAGCTTCATCAACACTTGTATGTGCAGAACCAAGTTGTTACATCAACAGAGATCTTCAGGAAAGTAGCAAACTTAAATTTCTGAGACTAATGGTTTTAATTTTTGTATAGAAATACTTATCTCCAAAGACCATTTGATTGTACATCAGAAGACTGTAGTAGAAAAAGCCACAAACTGAATAACAGGGTTGCAACTGTGATTTACAGAGATTGCTTCGATGCTGTCACTCACCCTGAACTCATCCATCATGGGATCCTCAGACTGTTTCAAGTAGGATAGGTCGAGACGGCGCTGATAATCTTCCAAATGCTGCAGAAAATGCAATGAAGATGGTCACTTTGATTAGCAAAACTCACTAGCATCACAGTACAGTCACTCATGAACACTTCCATATGTTCCCAAGTGCGTGGCATTCCTCCTCTTCCAGGAATACTTGTGCCACAAAACATCTTTAAGCACAATACAAAGTCACTAGTAAAGAGACTCTAGGTATCTTAAACAGCTCGCTGCCCTTCAACTCTCTTCTCCCCAACCCTTGATGCCCACTCCGTCCACCTCCTACCTGTTTGTTCTCAGACTCTTTGACAGCCTGGTTCACATGGTTAAGGATCTGACGACAATGATCTGCTGCTTTCTTCACTTTCTCTTTCTCTTCAGGCAGTTCTGCAAGAGAAAAGGAAATGTAATAATGCTTTCCAACAAAGGCTGAAAAAGTCAGAAACCTAGTGCAGTTTGCTGACTTCAGATTTGAGGAAGAGAACTTAAATTCGCAGAATAGTCTATCAACAAAAGCACTGCATTTCAAAAGTGGAATGACAAAAATAGTTTTGTGACGGGAGAGAATTCATTCCGCCCTGCAGAAGACACTGGCCTCTGATGATCACCATACCAAGCACTTGTTACTCTCCATTTTTTGAGGGGCTTCTGGCAACTATTCACTTCACAAAGTATTCCGAGAAATCTAAGACTCCACCATGGTACAAAGAAGAGTCTCGGGGCAGACATTTACGATCAGACATGGCCAGCTAGCCAAAGTCCAAGGATTCAACAACTGACTACTGGCTTCTGCATTTCTCCCAATCCTTTTTATTTATTTTTTTAGGAAGAGAGAGAGAAACAAAGAAACATATCACAAAATATCAGAACAATGTGTTACATAATAAGTTTTTCCGTCCAGATAGCCTGTACGTACTTTAACAGCTTTGGAAAAAAGTCTCTCTGGCTGCATTCATGCAGCCTGATTATGAAGACCAGCCTTCAATGACAGCAAGAGCAAACGAGAGTTACCTTTCCAGCCAACGTCACCTGACCATACACAGACACACACAGGTGAACCCCATCAATTCTCACTACCACAAGCCACATTAAGAATTTAGTTAACAGACAAACAAACAACTACATCAAGGCTAATGGAGTAACACGTGCTTTCCTAATTACGATTAGAGTGAACTTGTAAATGCAGTATATTTTTTATGAATAATTAAATCACACTGCAGCAAGTATCTGCTAGTAAACCTGAAAAGGCATTTTGTGGTATCATTAATCATATTTTGGCCTGTTATGCTGGAAATACCTTTCAGTGCTAAACTCCGCCCTCTGCAAGAACATCATAACACTCTTCAGTGCTTTAGAGATTCAACAGATGAGGCAGATCAAGATTCCGTTGGTGTCTATTGTAGGAAAATATTTCTTTCCAAGTTCAATCTCCCTCAAATTCTTAGTTGACATTGTATTGATAACCTCCAAGATTTTTACGTGAAGGTTGTTTTATATCAGACTTCAGGGGTGTAGGTCAGATTGCACTCTGAGTGCACTTTTTTCCCCCCGATATTGGGAATTTTGAACAAATAGTACAGAGGACTGATTAAAAAAACCCAACCAACCAACCAAAAACCCACCTTTGGTCAAGAACAAGAAAGCCTTGACCTTAAAAAAAAAATCAATTTGTTCTGTATTATCTGCTTTTTGTTCTCCTCTTAATGAAACACGTTGATTTGCCATAAGCCTTAACACTACATGATTTTTGCTTAGATTCTATAATACTTTCCTTTTTTGCTTCCTTGCTCAGAAGTATGCCGTATGCCTATCCAAGCTTGTTTAAGCAATAGCATAACTTGATAGTTTTTTATTAGATTCTTCATTCTTCACATTTTTATGTTCGTAATGGACGATTAGGGATTTCTGTTATTGAAGATCTTATTCTTTTTCTCTCTCAAATGCATCTACATGGAAATTGGAATTCACTTAAATGTGTTTTCTCTTAATAGTTTGATTTAACTATCTTAATGTCCCGAATTCAAGACAAAACATGTTTATCAGAGCATATTTATTATTGAAAACCAATTTGGTGAAACAAATAGAGTATCCTCTTTAGTGACTGAATTCTTTCCAGTTATTTCCCCCTTCAAGACTGTAGAAAGGAGTTAAATATACCTAGAAAATTACAGAAAGAACAGGCATGCTGCTGACTATTCAAAACAATAGCACAAATGCAACTTGCCTCTGAGTAAGTTCCTAAAGACTTGGTTGCTAAGAGAGTGTAATAAGGAAGAGTTACACAATACCTGCTCTTTTTCCTCTGAATGTAATTCCAGCTATTGACGTTATCACATACTCTTATACAATCAGAAATATAAAGGTGCAGAGAAAATATTTTCTTCACTTCCATTTGGTTGTCATAAGCATTAAAACCTGTTCATAACAGTAATAGTAAAACCAAGAAACAGGCTAGGAACTGAAGAGTGGAGAGGAGACAGGAACACCTGGTTTCCTTCTTCAAAAACTGATAGCAAATCAAGTTGTTTTGCCAGTAACTTTCTTAAGCAGAGTAGTTTGGTTTATCTTCAGAACTTTAGCATTCCTCTCCCCTATCTTTTTTAAAACTACATTTCAATGATTATATTGCACTCTACGTACACTACAACCCAATGCAGACTGTCGTTCACTTACTTCACATAGAATTTCCTTTCTGTTTTTTTTTCTAAGGAGGAAAATTAGTCTAATTTAGCAACAAAGACTGAATTTTTTTTTTTTTTTAACCTGCCCTCCTGTGTGGAAGGGAGCAGCGAGGTCACACGGAAAACAGATAGTGACTCATAAAATTGAACTGTTCTTCAACACATGCTTTGAAATCACATTTGCCTAGTAAACCTGCTGAGATGCATGCACAAACCCTAGGGAAAAGGCTTTACCTGTGTACTTAGCAATGTTGTCCAGCAGAAGGGGGTACTTAGTCAACCTCTGCATCTCTGTGGGAATGATATCCTTCAGCTGCAACCGGCGACACAGTGGATTACTCTCAGCATCCTAAAATTAAACAGCACAATAACTACATTTGTCATTTTTATTAAGACTATAATTACCTGAACGTGTAACACCTATTCATCACATAAACGTCTATTACTTCACTTTCCAGTAATTAAATACAAGACAAGAAATGCCAAGATCTATCATTGAGACAACACATCCCCTCTCCATTTGCAATTACATATAGGAAAGGCTCATCACAAAAGCAGCGGCTTCCTTCCCTCATTACTTCACAGAGGCCTGGTACCATCTCCAATCAATCTCAGTCACCACCATGCAGGGAAGACATCAGTGTAGGCTTTCACGCTATAGCAAAACTACAAAATATTTTTCAATATAACCTCAACCCTTGTATTACTGGAGTTCTTCCCAGCCTGTGGTAATGAAGATAATGTTCTCTCCTCCAAATGCCACATGTATTCAAGCCCCTTTCCTGGCAGGCAGAATAGGTGCACATCATCTGTCTTCTGCCTGTGGCATGCATCAAAATTGCACTACCATAAGCATTTTTCCCCACAGACATACTCATCCTTGGGAAACAGTCACTTCAAGGGAGATGCCGTCTCCTGCCTGGGACGGCATGTGCTTTCCTACATTCTATCAGGACATTCCGTGTTCCCCAGAATTAAAGGCTCCTCCCTTCAGAAACAATTAGCAGAGATAAATACAGTATTGGAAGTGATCCCAATCTGAAGACAATGTTAGACGTGATGTCATTAATTACAACAACTTCATCTACAACCATTCATTATGCTCTGCTGGCCGCCAGCCACATCCCCAGGCAGCTCAAACCCTTGCATAAAATTCACCTGCACAAAAGTCTGGAAGCGAGAGTCCTTCTTCTGGCGTGACTTGATGACCTCCAGAGCAAAGGGCTGGTTACTGCAGAATGTGGCAGTTGCATGTTTCAGCTTCTCCTCTGCTGGTCCACTAAACTGTGCCAGAAATCCAAGAAAGCCAACTTTAGATAGACTTAAGCTCAGCATGTGCCACTTTCAACAGACACATAGCCACGTAGCAGAACTGGTCTTGCCAGGGAAGAAAGGAATTACTGGCAAAACATGAGAAGTAATTTCCATCCTGTTTTGAACGCCTTGTCTTCCCAGTCTACTAAGGAACCCCTTTACATCTCAAACCCTACAGTTCTCCTGTCTCCAGCCCTAGTACATCAAATCCTTTCCATAAATGCACTCCTGATTCAGAAGGAGAATACAGTGCCATGTCTCCACTGTCAGCCATAAGGAGAGCAGAAAAAACTGCACTCAGATGAACGTCAAGGGATTATTTACCAGACTGTTGGGCAGCAAAGCCAAGACCAAAGGTCATCTTGTTTCTCAGGGACACCATGCTTAAACACCAGCATATAAAATAACATCTTATTTCCTAAACAAAAGTATTACAAAAACATGGCTAGGGGAAATGACAGCCATGAGCGGGGCTGAGAAGCGTGCTGTAGACGACAGATGGTTAATCTGTTACTTCAACTGCAACTCTTCCCGTTCCTGCTACCCAGGCTGTGATGCAGTGTAGTAACTCCTGAAAATACTCACTCTGGAGAATGGGAACCTGTGTTTTTTGTGTTTTAGCCACTGAACCAGAACACAGCGCAAGGGCATATAACTATTAGCTTAAGGTCTGGCTTGCTCTAGCAAGCATTTTCTTGCTTTTCATAAGACACAGAAGAACTGAAAAGGGTTGGAGGTGTTTCTTTACCAGCCACATCTGATTTTAATTTTCTTCTTTTTTTTCTGGAATACTAGTCAAACAGTGGGACATTAAAAAACACCACAAGAGACTTCTGCATAAAGAGCTGAAAAGAATAAGCATAATCGTCAATCTTAAAATAAGTCGGCTTGAAAACAAACAACAAACTGGGAGAGTCCCAAGAGAGATTTTTTTTTTTCTAAAAGAATCTACATCACTCCTGCTCCTGTCATTTGGATCTCAGAAAGGAAGCCTGCCACAGTGCTACAAATTTGAAAAGGTTCAGCTACGTAAATTCTAGGATTGGAAACCAGTATTCCTAACTATCTTTTAACTGCACCACAGGCAACTCAGAACTTAATATTTCAGTGTTACTGAAATAAAATGTGCTATTACGTTTTTCAAAATCCTACTCTCATCTCTATGTGTCCAAAACTACCTTTCTACTCTATCCACACATCATAAGGAAATAATTTTTCTTCCTTAAATTATTCTTATCTCTAGCCAAATGAAAATCCTGTAAGTTGTTTCTGTTTCAACCCTCATTCTCTAGCTCTATATTGGCTCCATAGAAATGACAACTTTAAGACCTTCAGTTCCTATTAGCTGGGAATTACCTTCACTAACCTCTGTCTCTGTTGTTCTATGGAACATTATTTTCAAGTACAAGAAAGCAAAAAAGAATTTTACCCAGGAAAGCAAGTCTTCCCCAATTTGGCCAATAACAGAAGTCTCATTCCTTTTTCGGACAGCTTTCATCTGATCGTTCAAAGCAACTTTAAAAAAAAAAAAGTAAGTTTTATTAATACTGCTCAAATTATTTGCTTAATTTTCAGCATTTATTTTAAAATAAAAGGTATTCTAGGAAAAGACTAGATTTGCAATAATTTCAATTAAATGTAAAAAAATGAAAAGTGTCCTGCAACATAGTAAATTTAGCAGAATATTTAAGAAAATGTTATGTAAGTCCTTTGCACTTCTGTCTCACCTGTCTTCAAATGTCCCCTAAGAACCTTTCCAGTCTTATCGTTTCTGGGGCTCACTATCACTGCCCTTTTAAGAACATAGGAACAATACAGAATACACTTCAAGCCACCCGCATAAAATTATACAACTGATTATTCAGTTGCAGAGATGAAATTCTGATTCTGAACAGTCCTTTCTCTAAACAATTGGGAAGGGTCACCCTTCAAAACCACCTGCAAGACATCAATCTTTTCAGATTTGTTTTCATGTTCTCTTCAACAACAGTTGTAACATTTTGGACGTTAACCCATAAAGACCACTCATCAAAGCATTGCTCCTTTTCTCAAAGCACGAATCAGCACGAGACAGTACGTGTACACAGATAAGAAAAAGCAAGTATCTGCAACATGGGCATGTGCGTTCTGTATCAAAATATCTTTGCAAATCAGAAATAGAAGAACTGTGTGCAAAAGGAAGAGCAGCTGTAGCGTTCTTTATCATCTGAAGTGGTGTATGAGGTTGCCTCTTGTTTCAGGGTCACTTGCTTAAATTTTTCAAATATTTGTATCCAGAATCCCAGCTGAGACTACAAAGCTGAAAGGCGCCTCAGCTACTCTTACCATGAAGCCCAAGGATATCCTCCAGATTCGAAAAGATTTTCCGTTTGTCACTGGAGTTCAGGATCCCTTCCCGGGTGACACGCTGGTAGAAGACATTATGCAGAACCTTCAGCGTGCGGACATGAGCTCTCTCGGTGTAAAACAATTCTGAAGAGAGAGGGGAAAGCAGGATTGTAACTACCAACTTAAAGGGGCGTGGCAACGTGCATCCAAACGCGAAGCAAACGGAAGTCAGAAGCACAAACTTTCAAAAGTCTCCCTCACCAACACTTCCCTTGCTGTCCCATATTCCAGCTTGCTCCAGAATGGAGCCATGCTCTGCTAGACTTGTATGTTTGAAAGAACAGAGAAGCCAGTTGATTCGTGACTCCTAATTTACCCCAAACAAACAGTGAGCTCTTAGCAGCTCACATAGCCACAGCGCGCGTTCTGCAGGATCACAAGACCTGAAATTGAGACGAAGCTTTGAAGACAAAAGTTTGGTAGTAGCTTGCCATTTGCATCATGTGCATTCCAATGGCCTAGACAGCGCTGCTTGCTTTCTTTTCTAGAACATGATGTTGCAAACTGGCCTGTCAGTGCCAAATCACTTAGTATTGTTTATTTCTTCTCTAAGGACTGGATCAATCTCATCTCAAGATACTTTTCAGTAACAAGTACAAGGTTCCCACACATGAACTCTGCAAATCAGAAGTAACAGGTGGCCACTGCTTTGAGCTGATCAGTGAAGACAGACCTAATTTTAAATTTTAAGAACTTCAGAGCTTCAGAAGAGAGGACTTTGTGCTTGGTGAGCTAGGAAAAAAACATCCATCTCACCATTAATCACTTCTTGGCGCTTGATTTCATAGGGTTTCAGCCCCATCAACACTTCTCGGCTCACAAGCTGCTGCCAGTTGGGAGGGTCCATGTCCATGTCAAAATCATATAACTCATCTTCACTTTGTACATCTGTGAAACCAACACTGTCCATCCTAACATGAAAAAAATATGTCAGATACTTACTATTTTAGGTGTGGATGTAAGGAAGAAAAAGAAAGAAAATATAAGTATATATATCAGTTGTAAAGCATTATGAATATGCTCTCCGTAACCGCTGGAGGCTGTTGGATGCCTGAATCTGTAGGCACATTTTCTAATTTTGCCCTTTACAGAACAACTAAGAGTGAATATCTGTTCTTACAGTATTTCTTTAACCCTCCTTTTAATGCTACAGATAAAATAATTTGTTTGAAGTCAAATATCAAGCTGGTGAAAGGGCGGGTTACAATTTCTTTCCTCCATTTATCTGCAGATACACAGCTAACAGCAACACATAAACTCCAAGAGAAAAATGCGTAAATCTCAACTCCCTAGCCCATCAATTCAAATCAGCAGATACAGCAATCACCGTACTTCACTCATAGATCAAAGGGCTTATCTGCATATGATTCACTCCACCTGTCCTATACACAGATGCCAGTGTCTCATTTCACATGTGTTATTTAAAAAAAGGGAAGACCATGGAGACAATTGTACTGGCTCAGAACAATCAACACTACCGTATTCTACTTCATAACCTCTTAAAATCTCAACAAATTCAGTGAAGTTCAAACATTTATAAGCATACTCACTTGCGAAAAGGCTTTGGTGTTCCCATGTCAACCATTCTGCAAAGAATGAAAGAAATTATTAGGGAAGCTTATGCAAGAATTTCACCCCACTCTGAGCATAACTTCAGAGTAAACCTCCTAACTAGAACATTTTGTCCATCTGTCAGCCTCACCCTCCTGGTACACAGTTTTCTAGTACTGCCATCGTAGCAGACAGACTAGCATTTCCTACTTCTACCAATAATGTTTAATACAAACGATGTCAGTAATAGTTTCACGGACTAAGCTTCAACAGCCATTGTCGCATTGACTCTCTTCCAAGGCTCAAGCAACCAAGGCACCACAGTTACCTCTCCGATTCTCCCTCCTCCTCCTGCAAGTTTTCCAAAGGAGATGGAAATTCAAAGGTATTATTAGGTGTGCGGGGTGTGCCATCCATACAGTCATTAGCAGGTGGAGCTTCTCCAGCCTGCTTCAAACCTAAACAGAGAATAAGTACGAAATGTCAAGAACCGTACAAAATTAGAGTACATTAGAGAACTTCACAGCCTCTTCAGAGCCTCTTGATTCACTGCCTCATTTCAGCTTAGAGCTGGAGGCACTGAATTCCTAGGTTGGTAAGAAAAATCTCAGCGACAAATGTTTCCAGATGACACCAACTTATGCTTACAAAAGCAGGCATCTGAGACTGGGTTTTTCCTGTTAGATGATCCCATGCCACAGTGACAGAAGCCACCTAACAACAACAACTAACCTAATTTCTGGCCATGATAAGATTTCCTAATTTGAACCAGAGACTAAGTCAGAAAAGATGACTAAGCACCCAAGAAGATCATGTCTAATAACATAAAAACATTTCCTGATTTATCAAGTTTGTTGCATCAGAACTGTGCTTTGCATATCCCGTTCACAACTTGAATCATTCCTCTTTGCAAGTATCATCCTACCTGTGTCACTGTCCTTGCTTCCCTCTGGAGAGGAGAAGGGACCCATCGCCAAAGGAGACATTGGGTTGGCAGGTGGGTACGGCACATCTGTTCCATCACTGGAGGACCCACTCTGGCGCATCTTGCTAGAATCTAGTGGCTCTGGGCTAACAGAAGATGCTGGAGGCAAGTGCTTCGATTGGCGGGGCTTCTGCATTTCCATGGCTCTGCCAACTAAACAAACACAGAGCCATTATATTGCTGAAAGAGCTTTTACCTGTTTTCAGCAATGAAAAGAGGAAACATTTCAGACCAAAATTAGGTTTGTGTGTCTTCAAAAACATGTTTTTAAAAAAAAAAAAAACACATTTACTGAGTCGTCTTAAAATGAATTTTTAAAAGACAGCAGAGACTTCCTCTGGCTTTCAGACTAATAGTTAGGGACCATATATTTCCTCATCTGACATACTTGCACTGCTATCATGTCGACTTGGTCTCCTTGGTGGGCCCAGAATATTAGGAAAGCCTCTTCTCTTTCCTTTTTCCTCTCCTTCTTTCTCTTTCTTGATACTTTGCTGCAGTTAATATACAACAAAGAAAAGCAAAGCAAACAGATCACTCATTTCTTCAAATTCAGCTATTTACTAAGACATTGACTAATTCTTTAAAACTGCAGGAGCGTGGTACAAGAGAATTTTATTTCTAACAAGTTATTGAGGGGTCAACATCCTGCAGCATCAGAGGCAAAGACAGACTCTTGAGCGGTGCGTACACAGGTCAGCAGCAGGGAGCCACAGCATCTTAAGAGATACGTGTCTTTTAAGCAAAAACCCCACACACCCTGTTTTTAACTTAGCAGGAGCTAGAAACCACTCTCCTGCCCAGGGCAAAAGACCAATTTACAGCAACTAGTAGCAGCTCCTTTCTCTAAGGTACAACATCTGGTGAATCCAAACCTCCATAAACATACAGACTCTAATCCGGGAGAGAGAAATACAACTTATGTCACCATTTCAGAAAGGTTGCGAACACTTGATCTAACCTTTTTTGCACTGTTAGTGCAGAACTGTTTGCAACAGTCTTAACATTTCAAAGGAAGCTGGAACGCTGATGAAAATAAGTAGCTACTGTGACCAGATACACCCCCATACCGTGGGAGACTACTGTACACATCCACAGAAATGGGGTTTTGGTGGAAAAAAAATCATTATATAACTGGGAAAGCGTGGGGGACAGGAAGAGTAGCTTTCCTGTGTTACGAAGCATGAGGTTTTGGGCAAGTTTCTCAAGAAGAAAACTAAAGTATACAGGTCAACAGCCTGATTAGCCTTAATGAGATCCTCAAGTGATTCAAGGTTGTATTATATGAAACATTTCTCACCCAAAGTTTTAATAAGGCTAGAACTGAGAAAAACAAGCAGTTAGTATTCAGGCATACAGATAAAGGAAGAACGAAGGCACCTCATGTCTAATCGCATGTCTAAAAAACGTTTATCAAACCCAATTTCAACTGTTAGGTTTTCTGTGCAGCTCAGTAATCCCAGATCCTCCTGATGCCACAATAAAGACTGTAAAATTATACCAACTTCTAATGCGTCATGCAAAAATGGACTTTAGAATTCTAACGAAGAACCCATGCTGGGCAGCTTTAAACAAATGCACTCTGGCCACAACACTACTACCTTGATCTTTGGCAAGAAACCAATACGGCCACGTTTTTGCTCCAGGTTCCGAGGTTCTTTAACTTTGACTCCCAGGTGTTTCATGTAAGTAAGAATCACATACTGCATTGTGGAACTGCCAAGTATATACAAAAAAAAAGAAGATAGAGGATAATGAGAAATGTATTGGGGAAAACACAATTTATCAAGAAAATAAAAAAGGTCAAATGCAAAGATTCTATTGAGAAATTAACCATTTTTATATTAAGAGAACTTGGCATGTCTTTTTTTTTTTATTTTTAATATGAAACTATCACAGGGAATGAGAAAAACTCAGCCAATGTCAGAATTTGTTCTCTTGTAAACAAAAGATGGAGTATATAAGAGGCATACCAGACTAGGAGGTAAAAATAAAAGTTTGATAATTACACAGAAGGTCTTAAAAAGGATATACTAAATACATATTTGAAGTCACATTATAGTTTTGAGTTATTGTAAAAATACGTAGCATTAAAAGGTGTGGTTGCTGTAAAGAGTATAGTAAAAGCTACCCGGACAGCTGTATACATACAAAATGAACAAGGAAAGGCACATACAGAAAATAAGTGTTAGACAAGATTGAAACATCTACAAAACAAAAACAAAGGAAGAATGAACTCCCAGCAACAGCAACTTTTTCAGATCTTTAAGGCAACAAACTTCAGAACAAGAAGAGGTTGAAAACAAGAGGCTGATGCTCTGAATTCAAATTATGCCAGGGGATTGAGAAAATAAGAGTTTGTGGCTACAGCCAGCAGAGGGCTGTCTTGTTCTGCTCAGAACACAGAGCCAGCAGCGGGGTCTTAGTGCACAGACTCGGCCCACACAACTTCCATTACCTCTTGTCTTCTTCCAAAGGCTGAGATGTCATCCTAAAAACAAGAAAGAATTTAAAAATGAAACTCAAAAAACAATTACCACCCAGTCACATCCACCAAGAGCATCAATAGTTGTGTTCAAAGTGTCCTTTAGAATTGTAGAAAGTCGCGGGGGATGGGGGGGTAGGGCGGATGAGCAAAAAAAAAAAACCTGAAGGTTCAGGTGGGAAAATTGGATTCAGCTCACATTAAAAGAAAAAAATGGGTTCTGAAGCTGTAGGTTTCTACAGCCCCTAACCAGGACTCTGATCTAATAATGCACAAGCTGACAATGGAAGCACTATCTCTGCTATTGGAACAGTAGCCTCTTTGAAAAGATATATGGACTTTACCTAACTATTAGCTTACTTTTGACTATCATTATTCAAACATACTGTGATAGCAAACAGGGGAAGCAATGTCAACATAGTGATGTCAATTTGCTTCTAGTTCCTAACTCCTTGCTCTGCTGTCGTCAGGCACAGGGTAGAACCTTTTTTTACCCCTGCAATTATACTTGCTGTTACTCACAAGACTTCCTCAATTTTAGCAATAATCTGTTCTGCACATGCTCTTTCTCTCTCCATTGCATTCCGGTCACGAACTCTTTCTGCATCCAGCTTGGTCAGCTCTCCTTCTGCCAGGGTCAATCCCATACTACGTTTCTGCCTGAAAAATGGGGAGAGAGAAGCATCGCTTGAAATTGAATACTGACCTGTAACAAGGAAAAGCAACCTCTTGACATTCAGTATGTCAAACAGGTTTCATTAGTGGTTTCTGTATGAAAATGGCGAAGTCGTGACATTTCTCTGCAACATTTGCACTCGCTGTAAAACATAGCTAAGATAACCTTTGGAGGGATAGAGTTGTATGATATTTATCAAGAGGCAGCCATTGCAAGGGTCAAAAAAAAGTAGTTACTCTTTCTGCAGCATCCCGGGTTGTATATTTGAAGCATATACTTGAATTGAGACATTTTTAGGTATGAAAAAATCCATTATTGAACACTTGTCTTGGTATAATGTCTCATGTTGCCACAGAGCTCTTATGATTTCACATGAAAGGGCATATTCATTATCAAATTTTAAAAAGCTGCCATGGGCCTATAGTAAAGTGGATTATTCCATGCCCAAAGGGGAGAGGGAAGGAAAAAAGGAAAAGAAATAAAGATATAAGCTGATTATAAACTTGATTAGTAAGAAGGATTTATATTACATCACCTAAGTAACAATATTCTAAAATTGCCTCAAATAGCTTCAAGGAATGAAGAATCCAAGCTCTAAACTTGATCTTGCAATTGATCATTTGCAACACAGTGTCAAAAGACATTCAAGGATTGGTCAGGGTGACCCTGGAGGCCCTCTCCAGTGGCGTCTTGCTATTCAGTCCAAGATGAATTGCTATCTTTCTTGAGTTTGGGCTCCCCTTCTATTGGACATATTGACTGAGGGCAGGTATGAATTAAAACCCACACAGACAATGGTTGTTACCTGAAATCTTCCAGATTCCTTTGAACTTCTGGACAGACTTTATCTTGCATAGTTTGTATAAACTGCCGATGAAGCTCTTCAGGAATGAGTTCTGGCCGCCTTCTGTCTGTAAGTCAGAAGAGAAAAGATAATATACTTTAGAGAACAGAGGTAGTCCTCTCCATCTTTGAACACAGTTACTCATATGTATACTTTAACCCATCCCAGAGCACTCTTTTGCCTTTCACTTGTTGATAACATGAACTTCAGTGCATTAAGCGTAAGCAGCTTTGGTCACATCCACTATCATACTAAAACCATACATGCCAATGCACCTAAAGCTTCCCACCACTTACACATGCGTATCAGAGCACGCATTATGCCCTCCCCAAGAAACGTAAGAAGTATTTATTTGTGTGTCCCTGTTACACATGACACCCTATGTTTGAACTAACCCCAAGTGCATTTCAGAAACTTGCTTGGACTGCCTCAGACAGCAGAAACTGAAGAAACAGATACTCAAGGCAAGAGCACCATACCTAGTTCTAAGGAGATTTCATCTGGAACCGGAACTTTCAGATTCTGCAAAAGAAAAGAAAGGCTGGGAGAACATACACAACAAACACCACCCCAACAAAACACACAGTGCAAAACATTAAAAAAAAAAAATCCCCTCAAAAGCCAGAATCATACAACCTGAACGCCTGATGGTATTAAAGGGGAGGCTCCCATCCTGAATGTATATTATATTACACAAGGATTATTTCATCTAAACATGTGGTATTACCCTCTCCTACGTTATCTGGTAGTCCAATTCATGACAGTAATGAAGTTTCCCAGGCTTTCCAACAGACACATAACATTTTCCAATCCTTGCAATAGCCATATCCATATACGCAGCAATTATAAACTAAAAGGCAATGTATAACAGCTAGAGCTTGCTTACGTACCACAAAATTATTTCTCCTATCGGACAACGCATTCCCTGGTGATTCACTGAGTTACCAGGCATCTGAGGCTATATACCATTCATTTTGCCATATTCACTGGTAACATTTAAACAAAAAAACTTTTTCTTTTGACGTACTTAAATAACTCCTTAGTTTTTTCCAGTTCAGGAAAATGGAGAAAGGTTCAGCTCTGGGGCCCCCGACACAAGACAGACATGGAGCTGCTGGAGTGAGTCCAGTGGAGGGCCATGAAGACGATCAGAGGGCTGGAGCACCTCTGCTATGGAGACAGGCTGAGAGAATTGGGGTGGTTCAGCCTGGAGAAAAGAAGGCTCCAGGGAGACCTTAGAGCCTCCTTCCAGTCCCTGAAGGGGCTACAGGAAAGCTGGAGAGGGACTGGTGACAAGGGCAGGGAGTGATAGGACAAGGGGGAATGGCCTTAAGCTGCAGGAGGGGAGGTTTAGATGAGATATGAGGAAGAAATTCTTCCCTGGGAGGGTGGAGAGGCACTGGCACAGGTTGCCCAGAGAAGCTGTGGCTGCCCCTGGCTCCCTGGAAGAGTTCAAGGCCAGGTTGGATAGGGCTTTGGGCAACCTGGGCTAGTGGAGGGTGTCCCTGCCCATGGCAGGGCGGTTGGAACTAGATGATCTTTGAGGTCCCTTCCAACTCAAACCATTCTATGATATGCTTGAAAATGAGAGAAATGACTGGAACCTACTGCAGCTCGGTCCAAGAAGAACTGGTAAAACTCAAGGAAGACACGCCGAGTCTCTTTGGAGTTGGTCTGCTTGTACAAGTCTGTGTAAAGGTAGCACAACTGTGGGAAACAGGAGGAGAAGAAATTAAGTGATACCAGGAGAACTCTTCTAAAATCCCTAACTCCAAGTTTTCTTTCAAATATTTCAAGGAATTCAGCATTGCTGGATTGAAACTCTTCCTAGCTACCTTGAACCATCTAGATTGCTCAACTAACCTCAGCTAGGCTGCCTGGTAATCAGCGGAGAAGGGAAAGGCAGGGGAGTTAGAGAGAGATCAAACCTTCCCCATTAACAACTAATTCCACCACCTTAGAGTGGACTGAAGTGCTTTCAAGAGCTAAATACTTATTCCTAAACAGCTGAATGTAAGGGAGACAGCGGTCTTTGTGCTCCTCCTCATTCACGTGAAATACTCTCATTCCGACACAGGATCTGCTTTCTCTCTTTGCTTAACCAGCCATGTCACTGACAGCACTACACAAGGACAAGGAAATCCTGATACACTCTGGTTAAGACTACCAATTTGGGCCTTGGAAACAATTCCAGAACATCTTACCAATGCTGCAGGGTCAAACTGGGACACCACATGATGCAGAAGAACAGCCAGGTGAGCTGGACGAGATTTCAGGTGCTCTATGCTTTGGAAACAGCTGCATTGTCCGTTAATCTGTAAAGGTACATGGAAACTATTTGAATTATTCAAGAAAGCTACTGTGATAAAAACCAAGAAGTCTTGTTGCAACAGCTTAGCTCCTCATTTTTTTTAATTAAAATAAAACCTGATCAATTCCAGAACCTTTGCAAGGCCATTCTAACATCCCAAGAAGAGCATACAATGGGAACAGTTCTTCTAAATATTCTCCTGAACACTGAGTACAATACACTGAAATATAACTCAGAGCAAAGGACAGCTAAAATAACTCAGAATAAATATGTCAAAACCCACAGCAGCTATACTGCTGTGACAATAACGCAGAACTTAATAGCAACTAAATAAGCAAAAGAAAATTAAATAAGGCAAATTAATTTCTAGAAAGCTTGAAGTTATGACAGCAAAGAAAGAGTAACAGAAACAATCAAAGATGGCACATTGTCATAAACTCCCCAAATGGTTTTATCTGGCAAGTTCAGCCATAACAGGAATCACATTCTTTAATTCACCACACAAGAACTGCTCAATAAAAGTAAGTCATGAAGCACTTGTAGTTTAGGCGCAGAAGAAAACAATTTTGGCTCAGGACGAAGAAGGTGGCTGAGGCTAAAAGTCATTCCCACCTGCTCCTGTTCAGTGTCAAAGTCGTCATCCTCTGCTCCGATGATCTGAGGCCCCACTCGGGATAAAGGACTGCCAACACTGGACTGGGAATCCTGGGGTGAGTGGGGAGCAAGGGATGAGAAGAGATGTGCAGTGCTATTACTCTCTTGGCACAGTAAACCTTCTTTACCAAGTTAGAAATACTACTAAAATTTTATTCTCTTTCTCAAAACTCAGTGGAAACTCATGTGCCTTTACACAACCCTGTCCAAGTTTGGAGTTGCGAGATCCCCTTACGAATGCTTCTCCCAAGCTGCAAGCATTCAGAAACATTAAATCAGATGACTCAAAAACAACTGCATTATCTTACAGACATGAGCACACTAAGCATGCGGCATATGGCAAATGCCATCTTAGTATAAATGGAGCAATGAGACTTTGGAAAGTCAAGCAGATAAGGGGAAAAATACTTCAGAAGTCATCCTAAGGAAGAAAATAATATGTTCAGATAGGCATGCACTTTCTGCTATGTTCCACTTTTACTGACTCTTGAGGCCATCCCTGATAATGGCAGTCTTGTAATGACTAAATATCCTAAAGAAAAAAAACTGTTTCATTTACTGCTGGACACAAGGAATAAAATATGTACAACTGCTCTACCTCTTTTAGGTCCAGCTGTTTTACTGCTTATCATATATTTCTCGCCTCTAAATGGGCCTGCTCTTAAGCTCCATAAACATTTACTCAGCTAATTAACTTTCCCTGCACAATTTTAATTGCATTTTATTTTCTAAAGCAAATTTTATGCATGCTCCATCTACAAAGTGGGGGAAAACCAGCAAGGTTTTAATGGGCCCATTACAGGAGATGCTGTTGTGACACTTTATGCTTTGTACTCACAGTATCTTGAACCTCAGTCTTTTCTGGGCTCTCATCTGGAAAAATCCGCTCCTTCAAGCCACTGCGAGGACTCTGCAAAAAAGGAAGTTTAGTTCCGGTAAGTACCAGCAAATCCAGGAAAATGAGAACTGCACGATAATTTTTTCAGCCACAACAGCCAAAACTTCTCCTTTCTCACAGAGTGAACTGTTAAACATCAGAGGTATGAGCAGCCAAACTGTGTGACCTACATGCAGAGTTTCCAAAAAAACCCCAAAACCAACCAAATGCAGAAGCAGTTTCAATAAGAAAGCTAGTGACATAGAATACAGCAGAGCCATAAAATCTACTAGTGCACCTGTCCTTAGCTTTCTCTTCACTCTCTCCATCTCTTCTGACAGTTTATGTAGCATCCATCTTGCTAGCTCTCTGACTAAGCCCTTTTCTCAACACCCCCACTGAAGAGGGGGCTCCAGCGAAGGGCTCAGTATTCCAAGTGCAGTATCACCAACGCCCAGCAGAAGGGGCTAGGAGCTTCCCTCCACCTGCAATCCTCTTTCTCAGGTAGCCAGCAGACACTCACTTGGCTTTACTTGCCAAAAGCACGTGCTGTTGGCTCATCTTCAGTGTGCCCACAGTAACACCCACGTTCTTTTCAGCTAGGCTACTACTCAGCCTGCTGGTTCCCAGCCTGTATTGGTGCACGGAGTTCACCCCAGCTGTAGAACTCTGGACTCCCTGTGAAACTTCCAGAGGTTTCTATTGCCCCCAATCCTTAAGTTTCTCAGGGTGACTTTGGATTGAAAGCTTGAATGTTTGGTGCGTCGATCATCCACAATACTGACAGGATTAAGTTTACTAGGAAGATAGCAATGAACTTTGTTCTGCATTTATTATATACAAACATGAGTAATACATAGTCAGATTTGGAGTTGGAGGAGCACCGTTTCAAAACACTGTCATGTATGTTCACATTTTGGAGGTATATCTGACCCACCCTACTTTCACTTCCAGCTGCTAGTTACAAATTTAGCTCCCATATCCTTAAGTTAAACAACAAACCTAGACCAAAACCCAAGCAGAGTCTCAATTCCTCTGCACTAATCAGACAGTGACTTAATTAAAGATTAGGTGCTAAGGCACTCCAATAGGGAGACCATATGAGCACACAGATTGATAACGAATGAGTGAACAGACTAAGAGCCTTTGCTGTTGGCAATAACTGAAACTCACTTGGTAGAAGTAAGGCTTTTCCCAATTTCATGGCAACTTGCCCACTGACTGGATCTGAGTCACAGCTACCGCAATCGGAACATTACCATACTCTTAAAAGATACTCTAATTGGCATCTCTGAGTTCTGAGAAAGGAGCTGGCATCCATCTTTCTTTGTCTGGTTACAGGGATTGTGCCAGGAAAATCTAAGCCTGGCTAAAAACCAAAAACCCACACTATTTCTTTCCCAGTCCCTAATGGAAGACCAATATAGTACGCTTCCTCAGGGAAATATTTTTGCTGTGTACTGAAAAGTCTATTTATTCTAGTAATACACAGCGCTACTGAGACAGAGCACATATGTATGATACACAGGACAGCACAAACAAAGAATCTGCACAAGAAAAACAAACCCAAAAGGTATAGAAGCAAAGTCATGGAGCTGTTCAAGACTCACATCAGCAATGTCACTGTTTGGTCGGGAGGGGCTGTCACCACTGTAATCCAGTTTGGTCACACAATCCCCGCTCTCTGCCTCCACTTCACTGAGCTGCAGCGATTCCGTCACAGACCTGGAGGACAAGACTCCATCCTAAAAAAGATAAAGCGGGTTGAAAGACAGCACAGAGCAAGTAGAATATTTCAAGAGACAATCCTTAAACATCAGCTGTTGCAAAACCTGGTTACTTCACATTACTTAAGAAACTTTTTTCGTGTATCCAGAAAAGGCTACATAGCTTTTCTAGGGAAGACAACAGAAAATCACACCAAGTTTTCAGGATTTATAACATTATAGGCAGAGGAAAAAGGGGAAAAATAATATCATCTACTTTTTTTTTTTTTTAAAAGGCAAAAGCAAAGCTGTTTTAAGCTTCCAGTTATTCACTCTCCACTGAAGAATGACTTTGCAGGTTTCCTTTAAGTTGTACTGACAGACAAATAAACATGTTGTAGTTTGCACTTACTGTTTTAAAAGCACTTTTTCACGGGTGATTTGAAAGTCCATCGTAAAGTCTACTTTACATACTGACATTGCCCTGTACTGCCTGGCAGCTTCTGCAAGCCTAATTACAGGTCTGAACTCTAGGGGGTGCAATTTGCCTGTACAAGCACAGAAGAGCGTGGCAGGGAACTCCTGCTTGCCCAGAACACGATCATCCCCCAAGAATTTTTACCCGGAACATACCACAGAGAAGCCTGACACACTCTGTTACCTGAGTACAGCCTGTGGCTTTGGACAACTGCTCTTGCAGCTGAGGAATGTGCTTCTTCGTTTCCTGTATCTCTTTGAGCAGTCGTGTGGTGGGTGATCGGCTGTACTCTTCTTGCAGAGACTGAAAAATAATTTTATGAGCTTTCACTCAGTATTTCCTCAATGTCAAAGCTTACAACTACAACCTACTACTAATCTTCATTCCGTTTACACATTTTAAACAATAAACAGCACATCTGCACACCTACCAACTAGATGCTACAGAACGTCTATTTTATATAGCTCTCCCCTCTTGTGCCATATGAAAATAAATGCATTCTAGAGATCGATTGAAATCTCTCAGTAAGAGTCAAAGATGCTTATTTACCCAAGGATTAGATCAGATTGATGGATATGTATGTACATTTCCACTAAAGAAAGCTCCCACAAATTTTTTCCTACTCTGTAAGGGATCAAACACTCAAGAGCTGATCAGTAAGAGTGAGGCCAGTATCTAAAAAAGTTCAGCTGAAACACAAGCTATGCAAGGGAATGTGGAAATGCTACTAAGCAATGATTCAAAACCTGATATTTGTATTTCCATCATACTTTCCTCCATCCCTTTCAAACTCATGCAACTCCAGTACCTGCAGCCGCTCCTGCTCTTTCTGTAGCATCTTTCTCAGAATCTCCACCTTCTGGTTGTGGACAATATTATTCTCCTCCTAGAAAATACGGAAAGATTAAGAGTCAGATTTTTTGGTGTGGCTGGGAAAAAACATAAGGAAAATGGATACGCTCACTTTTCATCTACTTCATAAACATGGGCTCTGAAAAAATCCTCCAAGAAGCAATTCAAACTCCTAAATCATATCCTATGAATTCTTTCCTACTTTTGAACATAGCTATCCCCATTAATAAAAAATAAAATAAAAAAAAAAGACCAGAACTGTTTGCTTATTTGGTTTCCCTTCTCCTCTTTGCCACATCTGCACACCTTACAATCCACTTTTTAATAGAAGTTACAGCATGACTGGACCAGACGATGTGTAAAGTCACATCATGCAAATTGCAGTGCACCTCAAAGACAAACTTGTGAACAACCCCTCAACTGTCTTTGTATTATTTCAGATGAGACTGGGTATTTTTACTTGCAAAATGTTTTTCCCCATGTGATTAAACGCCCACTGGGTGGCAGGACAAATATTCCAATTCCCATTTGTGATTTGTGCAAGCAGCACAAAATAATTCAAGAAAAAAAATACGACTACATTTCTTCCACTGCTGCACTGGTTCTTTGCAAAGAGAGCTTTAAATCTTACCCCCACAAGCACGGGGCTAGTAATCCTTTCTGCATTTCCTGATGTGCCAGGCGAATGGGGAGATGTCATGATGGGAGACATATGCCCAAATGCTGCCAGATCCACTTCAGAATCAGCTAATGGAATCTGGGGCGACCCCGGTGGGCGCCCTTGAACAGTGAGAGCTACATAGGAACCCGCTGCAGGGAGAAAAAGAACAATTCACATTTCAGACGCACTTGCAGAACTCTATGGTTGCTGTTTCTCTGGTTGCCACTTCACCCTAGACACAAAACTCAGACCATTCTTCACCCATTCGTTCTTCAAACCAGAGAACCTGAGAGAACTGTCAGCTCTGGTTTACAAATCTGTTTAAATTTCAGGTAATCCAAAAACTTGCATGATAATCATCCTTAATAAAAGCACGCGATCCAATTTCTAGTCTATCAGGTTACGTTTACCAGGTTGCATTTATAGCATACATACGCAAGCCACAAAATAAACCGTGCTAGAGTGGAAGAAACCACTAACCTTCTTCCTTGTACAAGAAGATCAACCAAGAACACACTGCCTTTAGAAACGCCAGTACTTTACAAGCATCATACAGTAACCAACATTAAGAGTGCCTGAATAGCTATGGTATTTAAGGTGGAATCAAAAGAAAGGAAGATGTGTAGGCAAGGTTTGATGGTAGCTTCGAACAGCAAGCTAGGGAGAAACTGCAGAAGCGTGTATCAGCTCAAGTTCGAGATGTCAAAATTATCCCAATTTCACTTCACTGTTTCATACACACCCTTTATCTCTCAGCATGGGGCATGGTTAGACCTCATCCTGGTCACTTGATAGCTGAATCGGTCATTGGTCCTTTAAAGTTATGTCTTTCATGCTTTAAAGGAGCACAGTGACAAAAATAGTAAGCTGCCTTTACTTACACTTGATCAGCTTTACCACCTCCAAATGGTTTGAGTGTGTTACAAGAGTGCCATTCACCTGGGGGTAGGGAGGAAGAGAAAGTTAACAGTGGTTAGCTACTGATTTCCAACCAAAGGTACCCACGCACTACACAATAAGCAGTAGAATGAGGAACAATATTCCCCACCCCCCCGATTACTATGTCTTTCAAGACACTAAGAGATAAACAATTTATCCATCTAACAGCTTACCTTGTTGAACACGGCTATGCAAAAAGAAAACTATACATACCAAAAGAACACCAAGAAAAAAAAAGAGAAAGAAAAGCAATCCACCTCTGACTGGGAAGAAAAAAAATAGGGTAGCTAATTTAATTCATCACTTTAAATGCCTAGTTGAAATCCCAGCTCTATCTGTGTCAGTAGCTACTGTAGCACAACCATCATTTTGCAGCAATAGTTCAGATGTCTTTTTAGTTACTGACTTGATTTCTTAGTTGTTTGGGACTGAAACAGAACACTGATCCAGGGGTAGTTAGGGGAAAAACAATAATCTAAGAAGACTTTATTTGCTCTCTGTTCCTTCTTTCCCCCTGCCACTTCTTTTTTTATTTTACACGTGATACTTGAACTTTGTAGGATGCTGAACCTGTCCACAAAGTTCTGAAACGAGAGCGATCTCCACAACAGAACTAACAATCAGCAGCGGGCTTTCAGTGGTTACTGTTCTGGTATCCCCAGAACATGGAAACTTAGAGCATTCCTCTATCCCACAGGCAAATGCAAACATCACAGCAGACGTATATCAATCACATTCTTTCAGTGAAAGAGCTCATGTAAATACGAAGGATCCATTTCTCTGATGACTTGAATGCCCTTACCTTGATAATTCTATCACCAGTTTGCACTCCAGCCCGCATGGCTGCTCCATCTAGAGAGGCAAGAAATCATGTAGGTCCAATTTTAACAGAACCATTCAAAGCAAAAATAGTTTAAGCACTTCCATAGTTCCACACAAAGCTCCTTCCCACACTCACCCAAGCTTCCTCCCTATCAGATTAAAATCTCTGAGTATCTAGACTAGAGCAGTTCTGTTCTTGTTTTGCAGTGGATACACCAAGCCACAATCCCACCATGTTTCAAGGAGCCATTTATTTCCTCTCAGATGCAAGAGGACAGTTTCCAAATGCATCAGACAGCGAGGAGGCGATTCACTGCATCCCAACAGTGCAACGCTCTTTGTCCTTGCACATCTATTCCTAAGCTACAGCCATCCCACCCATGAGAAAGGCATTTGAAGTTTTCTCCTCCAGCTCGTGCACGTGATTCTTTGATTCACACGAAAACCCTCCATGCTGCTCTCTGGCGAGCACATTTAGCAAGCCTGCTTACCTTCTTTGACGGACTGCACGAAGACTGGATTGTCTCCGCTGACTGTCAGCCCAAATCCGTTTTCATCCCGTTGGATAACAACACACCGTTGAACAAGACCTGCATAAGAAAGGTGGGGAAAGGGCAGAAGAAAGAGGAGGAGAGAAATACAGAGAGACACAAGCTAGGCATCAGTCCAAAACCTTATCCTCCTAGATAATCACAGAGCACTGAAAGAAACTGGTACAATACAACAGAGGGAAAAATATATGAGAGACAGAAACAGGGCATCAGTCCAGAAACAGATAGGAATGTCAAGACAGGTCAAGCTTATTGCTTCAGTTACACAAAACAGATATACAACAGCAGAGATGCAGACAGCTCTGGCACATCAGAGACAACTTGAGGTAAAAGCAGCTTTTAAAGAGCAGCAGCTACGTACACAAACTAATGAGCACAAATTTCCCTTTGTATTAATAGCTCTTCAAAGTACGGGAGAGGGCTGTCATGTTCTAGTACACTACCGAAAACACCAAACAGCTTTTACAAGCTACTCTAAAAAAGTCGTCACAAATCTCTCAGACTAACATCACTGGGTTGGACTAAAAGAAATTTATTGATCAGGAAAAGTTCTCCCAATTCTCAGCAAAAACCTCATCTTGGGGCGCCTTCTGTTGCAGATGAAAATATTGCACAGAACCAGAACAGCAGCAGTAAAGAAGTACAAGCCACACTTACTACACCGAACAAGACTTCTGAAATCAAGACCACGCTTCCCCCTGAGCTACTAAAGTACAGGGCCAAAATCCCAGGAGATGTGAGTTCGAATCTGCTCCTCCTTTAAACCTGCTGCGTGGCATTGAAGGCAAACTGTTTTGTTTCCAGGTGTTACGATTACTCAGTATAATGTGAGCATAAATACTGAGATAAAGGTATGTAGTAGGTGCACCATTTTGAGAAGGTCAAATGTTGTATGTGTCTATTGTTCACCTGAAAATGAAATAAGGGAGAAACAAAACAGAGCAACAGTCCTGGCATATTCATTGCAGAACACTTTCCTAGAAGCATCTGCAAAAAGCCTACCACAATGGAGCCCTTACCTTGAAAAGCAACTTTAGGAACTTTGCAAAATGCTTCACTACATTCTTTTATTTACACAGCAGAAACTACTAGCTATTAAACATCACCCTTATTTCTAACAGCTTGCTTTGCTGCTTCATTTCTAAAGCCACATCAGGCAAAATTCTTACACCAGCATCGTGAGAAAGAATTTGAGTTCTCCACAATTGGATACCAAAATTGTAGCAGTTTCATTTAATATGGAGGGAGCAAAGGGAATTGTGAAGATGCTGTCCTAGCAAGACTGTCTTTTCTGGAATCGTTTTTAAGGAATGAATCGTAACAGAGTGTGGAGTCATACCCACGTCAAATTACTCTCACACCACTACAGCTCTTTTCACCTCTCTCGAGCTACTCCTAATGGAAATGAGGAGCCTCAAGTGAAAATACTGCCTGCCCAGTCAGCCCTGTTCTCCTCCAGCATGGTATATATGAAAATGGGTGTGGGAGCTGTGGAAAAGGTTACATTCCAGCACTTCTACAGCAGTCTGGTCGCAGTACCATATCCCAGTAACTCCCCTTCTACTGATCACGTAAAAGCAAATTATGCTATACATAGCGATCTGCAGTAAGTTGATGGAACGGATGCAGGTGAAAGCAGACAAGAGGGAAAAAACCCACCACCTTTTGCACCCTCTTTATATGGTTAAGTGAAAGAACATGCCTCTCCCTTTTGTACCTCCCATTTTTCTATATGACCAAGCTTCTTCAAGTCTCACTTCACAAGAATGATGCCCCAGGGTGGGGTGTGGGAAAGAGAACATATGCTATTTCATAAAAACAGTTCGTTTTAAACTCTGCTGCCAGCCGTACAGGTTTTATGAGTAAGACACTAACTAATCTTTGACTCATAAGAACTGTCTGTGTTTAAAGGCACAGTATAGCTCTGCGTACTCATTGCTCTTTCACTGAATTTCTTTTCCAGAACCAATAACCCTTGGATCTACTGATAAGCCTCCTCCTTGAATGAACCTGATGCCAAAGCAGAGACAATGCAGTAGGAGATGCAACAGAAACTGACTGTACAAGAGTATAATTTAAGTTCCAAGAATAATTAAGTTAAACTGTTTCACATCACAAGTCTCAATTTCACCCAAGACCACCTTTTAATTTTAGATTGGGGAAGCAACTGAAATTACGACAACTCAAACCCAAATTAGTCCATAATTGATTTTTCCCTGTATTTGTTCCCTTCAGACAAAGAAGGCAGCACTTAATCCTTCTCCTAACTCAATATAGAAGGCTGGAAGGAGGCCTAGGTAGGCCAGCTGAGAGACACTGTGCTTGATGGAGATATGCAGCAGTCTTATAGAGATTTTAATTAAGTTATCTGAAAGTTTTCTGCAGATAACACTATAACCTGCAGAACTAGATCAGCTTTGATAGCACTCCCTGTCTTAACCAGGTAGACTAAAAAGAGCAACCTCCCAGCGCTCTCTTTTACTCTGGTGTGAGGAAAACCTAGCAAAGAAACCCCCCAAATCTCTCATTTGCTCACTTTTGTTCTTTAAGTAAAATACATTCAATTTGCCATACGCTTAGTGGTGGAATTTTAAGACCAGAGCAGTGATGTTTTCATAACCCACATCTTGTACCTTGAACACCTCATCAGACACTCTGGAATGGACTGAAAGGAAAGCCACAAACCACTGAGAGCCCAATGACACGCAACGTTAAAGTTCTCAATAGCTGTTCCTGTCACGCCTGGGTATCACAGGTACATACAGGAACTCTTACATCAAATTACTAACTAAACCGATTCCATCCACTTTAATTAAAGTCTATGACTTTGGGACAACACTGAAGAGCCCATGTTAGCAAGTGGCAATCAGCTTTTCATTCACATTTTTTGCTTTTGCGTTCCAACTTTTGGCGTTCCCTGGATGGAAATCATGAGTCATTCATTTTGAAATATCTTACCGTGATATTTCACTTTTTCCAGCTGAAGCTTAGTAAAGATTACAAGGTCAATACAACTCATCATTGATGGTACCCAAAAATCAAATCAATAATAATCTTATTCGCAGATTTGTTGTCACATGACAGTATCCTGATGCCATGAAATGAGGATACATCACTGTAACTATGCTTTAAGTACGCAAAAATCAGACTACATGTTCATATCTGGAGTGGATTCACAAAATCCTGCAGAGAAAAAAAAATTTTGAAAATTCTTTTTCATCCTCATGCATATTATAATTCCCCAGACTCATGGGTATAGCCTCAAGCCAAGAGTAGAGTAAAGCAGCTAACCGCGTGCCGTAGTTAAAGAGGTTTAAGATTAGAAACAAAAGCAGTTAGAAATTACCAGTCTCAGAAAAAAAAAGAACTGCAGGAAAAGTTAAGGCGATGAACTCTTCAGCAGGTGGCACTATTCCCTCTGCGACATCACGGCTCAGTTCCCGGCCCTGTTACAAAGGTGCCTTTTGGGTAACAGGGAAAGGTAGCGTCCAAACTTCTGAAGGTCACTGACACACCATGGTAAAAATGATTCTCTCAAACAGTTTTGCGATACACGTTTTGATTGTCCAAGAACTTCTTGAATAAAGAGATCCATTACCTCCTTCTTTTCTACAGATCCTAAATATCTGGAAGTTATTCAACAAAATAGGAAATTTCATCTCCCTAGCAGTGCACAACAAATAGAGCAGGGGTTCATTCTAAAAACCTGACTCACCAGAGAGGATGGAAACATAAATTACATCTCCCACAACACAATGCAGCTTTTCCTCTGATCAAACTGTGTGGACATGGCATGGGAGGAGACTTGTGAACTATAACCTCCCTGGAGGCATGAGGCCACAATGGGAAAATGAAATTTAATACAGTGATTTGAAATGAATCATTCAATAAACAAAAACAAACTCCTTCGGGTTTTGAGATTGTCCAAGTGTTTCACTTCATTTGGGAAGTCTTATTTCTATAAAGTATTTTCAGAAACCTTGCTCCACAACATAAATAAAATGATCAGCTTTTATAAAGAAAATTTCTCAATAGACAAAATTCTGAATTTCACCTAGTTCCAGTTATTACTGCGTTCTTCATACCAAATGCCGTATTAGCAGCATTCTTCAGATTCTTCTACTAACCTGGTAACAGAAGTCACGTAAAGTCAGAGCAAAACCTAGATTGTTTGAAGTTAGTGCAGCGTATAGTGTATCGATAGAACTGTTAATAACGACAGCACTGAATACCATTCATAAAACAAGGCTTGGTAACCCTTCTGGAAGAAAAGAACCATGTATTTTAACCATGATAAATAGGACTATCTGCTCCCATGGCAACGACACATTCAACCCCTGTGGTCCAGCGCCCCTTGCACTCGCAGCCGTTTCATGCTATTATAAGGGTAGTGATGAGGGGCTCCCAGGAGTCCTTTTAAGAGTCTGGAAAAATGGTGGCCACAGCATAAAGACACAAGGCTGACAAGAAGTGCAAGAAACAAAACAGGAAGAGTAAGTTAAATTTGAAAACATCTCAACAGGGGTACAATCTGGGGTTTCAAAACGAAAAGATTTAAAACCTTATCACAAAGTTGGAGAGAATACATGAAAGGGTACATATACAGTCTAGTCTAATATTTGGGCCAGAGACTGATTATTGCTAAATATAAAGGAAGAGATCTTTGGACAGCAACCAAGTCACAGGAAGAGTAACGGTTATCTCGCCTACCACCCTGAAAGCTAATTTCAATTTTAAGTTCATTTAAGGGACAAGATTTCTACTTCGAGAAACAGGTATCAAGTATTGTGGGAGGTTATGGCACTAATTAGTAAATTACAGCATATCTGAAACTACACTCAATCTCTCTCCTGATCATTTAAATTTTGTTGCATACATAGATATGAGATGGTTGGATTTATGGAAGAAAATATCACACACTAAGTTTCATGTCACTATAAATCAACTTCTGTATATTAGAACAATTTCCCTACCTAACCACTCTGCCTCCCTTCTCCCCCTCAAGCCACTCACATACTTCAAGAAATTCTGGTCTCTTGCTCCTTAATTAAGAATTTCAAGAGGTAAGAACAAACACATACACAAAAGCCACACCTCCTTTTCCTGTTGTCATTCAAGACTTTCTTATTATTCACTTGCCAATGGCTAGCCAAAGGAGCCAGCTAACATCCAGTCACCAGCAAGAACAGTATCAGTACAGTATTTCTACCTGTAGGTTTTTAAATAGTTTGGTCCCATCCAAAGCAAACAGCAGACTTCTCTACACATACCACAGAACCTGGGAAAAGTAGAGGCTAGAGACAAAAGGCAGGGCAAGGTCCAACACAGCAAAGGCTACTGGAAAGGAAGGATGAGTGGAAACTGCTCCCATAGATACTGGACACGGATAGACCATCTGCAGGAAACTTTGGGGGAAGTAAAGGCTTATGTTAGGAAGTCATGTTTCTTTCTGCCATACATAAAAAACCAGGACACTGTACAGACTGAGGGAGAAGTATAAACACAGATACATTCCATCAAGCATACCAAATGTTTCCTCTAATTAACCTACAATAGTTTGACAGCACCTCCAGTATATTATGGGTAAGCTGCATTAGGCAAAAATCAATGCAGGTTCAAGACACAGTGATCTAGCCAACCTGACTGCGCTGTCACTAATCAGCATCTGCCTCGCAAAGGGAAGAACTGGCCAACACCTCAACGCAAGCTCACCAGAAGCATCATCCCAAAATATATGCTTTTCAAGCAGGCCATTTCCCTGTTCATTCTCTCTGAGCACGAGAGAAAGACATACAAGCTGCAGCAAGTCAGGTGTCCCTAAGACCGGTTTCCCGCTCTACTGAAGCAAATCAAGGCACTCTCAAACCTGTTTACAGTTTCTGAGGAACAGTCTCACACCCTGAGGAACATGACTGTGATACTTTTTTTTTTTTTTTTTAAAGAAAAGTGTGTGATTCAAAATTCCAGGAGAAGTCAAGAGATCTCTTTCACAGAAGGAACAGATCACACCTCCCTATACTGCACCAACTAAAGAGCTTTTGCTAACATGCCTATGTTGGTTTAGAGGTAACCCTTCAGGGTTGGTGTTTTTTGGGTTTGGGGTTTTTTTGCTTTTAATGTTCCTTAGCAGAGCTACGACAGTATCATTTTGTATTACATAGGTAGTTGAAGAAGTTGGATCACAGCCATTAACACCTGAAGTTTTATTCTAGTGGAATGATAAAGCTGATACTGGAAACATTGCATCTGTCCAAAAGTCCACAGCAGGTTATGCACCAAACAATTTTCTCAACAGAGAAAAATCAGAAGGTATCGCAGACTGTTTTAAATATCAAGAAAAAAAAAAAAAACAGGAAAGGAAAAGAAAGGCATGGACTCCATGGCTGGAGTCAAGACAGAGCTGGACACGCACACTTAGAAACATGAAACGTAGCAGTACTGGCCAGATTCAGCTTAGGTTCAAGGGTCTTAAGAAGCTGGTAGGATCCAAAAGACCACCCACCAACTTGTGAACACTTACTATCTTCTAGTTTCTGAGATATGAATGCAAATCTTTTGACATCAGAAATTCAACAAGCTATTAACATAAAGGTAGGATGGAGAGAGTGTCACAGCCTGAAGACTGACATATCTGATGTAAGCTGAAGGAGGAGGATGAACAAACAGGCTGTATTTGGTAGACATTCTCTCCAACAGCACCCGCCATAGTGTACTGACAACATAATGATCTGTGGGGCTACTCTTATCGCAGACTGTTATATGCCAGTTTGTTCCAGTCTACAAGCCCACAACACAGCAGTAATACACAACAACACAGGACTGCCAATGCTCCCTCTTCAGAACAAATAATAGTATAGTTCATAATCTTCTATTTTTTTAAATTATTTAGATACATTTTTCCACTTCTGTGAAACATGATAACGAACTGACACGAGATGCTCTACAAATAATGCAAAAAGATGAATTGCTGGCTCAGCCAGATTAACCTCTGCAGTTAGAGCAACACACAGACTTGTCTACAACCACAAAAACTCTTCAGGAGTCCAGCATGAGCTGTGTCCTCATACAGTGCCAAAAGTACTCGGTGGCACAAGACCTCCAAGAAGGGCAGCCCCAGCAAGTCTTCCCAACTATCAATAGATAACAGCAGAATCCAGGTAATAGCTTTTGCTTGCCAGGTACGGGTTAGTTTCCAGCCGCTACAAAAAACTACAAGCTGATAGCAACATTTAAACCCAGTTTCCCACTCCCTGCTGCAGAGCCAACCATGCGGACCACGTAAAGGATAAAAGCCTTGAGTGCACAGACAGAAAGCATGGAGCAGACTGCAAAAGTGCAAGGCTGCAGCAGCTGCTTTAGCTTACCATATGTCTCGGATCTACTCTCCTCTGAACTAGACTTTGTCTTCTTGGAGGAGCTATCTGCACAAGAGCAGGAGAAAAGGAGAGAGAGATATAGAAAATATGGAGACCAAACATGAGAAAAAAAACTTCATGAAAAACACAGACTGATTTATCAGGTTAAATCGTGCAAAACACAAATAAGATGTGAACAAAACATAGGTGAAACACTTGGAGTAAGGGGTGAATAATACGAGCATGAAGACACAGGTAACATCACAAAGAATCTATTACAGAATCTAAGACAAAATAAGAGACGTTCTCTGCAATGAACTACATAAAGTATTCTGGATAAAAACCAGTCCAAGCATAGGAGCTCCGGTAACATTTATTTCCAGAGTAATTGACATACACACAGTAGTTCAGCATTCTGAGCTCACCCCTTAAAAAGACAGGAATTTTATGAAGGCTACAGTATGGAGTTCAGATCTATCAGACCAGATCACAAGCATCGTAACAGTGGTGCCAGGTACCAGCTCTCAAAATTGGAATGACCTTCATCAAATCAAGATTAGAGGATTCCTGAAGTTTGCTTCTGAACCAAATACATTCCTTCTACAAAACAGGTTCATAGGCTAAGACCTCCCCTGACCTACCCCAACCTGAAGTAATTTTACATCATCTAATCCCAAGGACAAAGGAAAAAACAACAAGCGCTAATTCAGGTTTTCTCCCTTACAGAATTCTTTGGGTTTTTTTTAAACAGACATTAAAAGCCCATTTTAATTTATTTTGTGCACACTAGGAAGGAGTCATGCAGCTAGTGGCAGAAAGCATTAACAAACAGGATGGTTTATAAACATCAGCTTTAAATGTCTTGTGCAAAAACAGATTTTACAAGTTCTACCACCTTTACATTCAACTCTCATCTCTTCCACAAGCCCCAGGGAAAAGACTGGACTAAACAGCAGAATGCACAGACATGAAAAACGCACATTGCATGGGGCCAGGAGGCTCGGACAAGAGCCTGTCATGCATTTCACAAACATACAGGGTAGTCACTGGGTTAGTATTTCGGAGAGAGAATGAAGAATCCCTGCATGCATCGTAATTTCCAAGAGAGCACTGGACAGGCTTACCAAATTGACCTAGATTTAACCTTTTGGAAGGTTAAAAAATAGGATCGCAGATCCTTTAAAAACAGATGTTTATCTTAAAATATATCATATTGAAAAGTACAAATTCGCTTTACAAGTGACAGATATGGATCAAAATCCACTAAGCCTCAAAAAAAACCCACAAAATCCCAAAGAAACAAACAAAAAAACCCCAAAAGCAACAAGGAATACTAGCCCTAGTCGAGCCTGTAACATCTCCAATTTCACACTTTGACCAAACCAGCCAAAAAACCTACTCACAACTAATTACAGTATTTGCCTACTGAAATTCCAAACTGACTTTTCTGAAAGAGGAAGTAGTTATAATTATTCACTCATACCACTAATCTAGGTTTATTCTTGCACAGTTAACAGCTGCTTTATAGATGAGCACATTTCAAAGCAAGCCAATGTTCACTTCAATGCCTGCATGCTTCAAAGAGGCTTTGCAATCGCAGAACACCACTACTCTGAAAACCGCGCTTCTAAACACATTAAAATAATTTTTATTCCAATCCCCAGTACTTTTCAAACTGAAGTCTAGATTTTCACCTGTGAAGTTTTAAGACTTTACCTGTTGGATCAAAGTCGTGCGTACTACTGCAGCGTTCAACCTTCTGTTTCTTGTCAGCTGGAGACTCTCTGCTCAGAATGCTGCCGTGTCTGTGTCAAACCAAAGCAGAGGATCCTGACTACTGTAGCACAGAAGCATTGCCTAACTGGCGAGGCTCTCGGAAATATCCTTAGCTAGTTCTGTTTGCTAACAAGGAATTTAGATTAAAGTGCACGCATCAAGTTCGCCTAAAAAATTTATTCCCAGACTGAATTCAAGTGCAAAAATGATATCTCTCAGAATCTTTGAGAGTGTGTTCAAGGTTCTAGCAACAATCTCCTTAACTGTCTAAACTAGTGACAGCAAGTGCATTCTCTTTATCATTCAACACCAGGCCGTATTTTATTTTAAAAGCAAAATAAATTTAAGTTATATTAACCTGAAAAAACTCCTGAAATCTTAACTCAACCTCTTCTCCCAGCAAACCTTAAGTATCTTTGTATGCAATAATTAAAGATTTATAATACACCCCCCTCCGAGGAAGAGTCTGTACATCATGCACCGACATAGTGTCACTTTCTCTGCCCATCTCAAATCTCAGGTAAGATGACCCGCCGGCGTGTGTAACAGAAATGCTAATGGTAACACTATGCCATGCACTTTAAGTACACCACCAACTATGGTTTTGGCACCCTGTCTCAATCTGGATATTAATTTTCTCACATCTGTAATGGGTACTGCTATCTATGTTTGTACATTTTTTTTTCCTTTTAAAATAATTGCTCATTCAAAAATGCTGTATCATAATTTGCTATACAGATAAACAGTCAAACTTCAGTAACTCACCTTGTAGGTTTTTTGAGAGGAAACCTGAAAAGAAGAAAGAACATAAGTTTAATGAACCTTTTTTGTTCCTCAATATTATGTTTGATATCAACACTAGTGCTTAAATACTCTTAATTTACACTTCTGTAATACCTTCACAAGAGAACAAGTCTTTTTTGTCATTCTACTTAAGCCAGTTATTAGTCCATTTACAGTTGATTCAACTAGGCAAAGAATTATTATCAGTATGTTTCAGGCTTCAAACAGAACTAAGAACAGACACAGAATCCGTGCTCTTGAATCCAGCACTTAGTGGGTCTGTGTTAGTATAGCAGCTCATGGATCCTCTTCCTCTTTAACAACTAGTTCCATACACTAAAAATTAATGTAGCTTGATTTTTTTGTCCTGCTGATGGACTGAGCACCTGGTACCTAATGAAGGTCCAAACTCTAACAGAAAAATCTCCCATAGCTGAGGCATCCTGGTTATCTCCCTCCTGTGTGGGTCCTGTGTTATCTAGCAATACCGGAGCTCATGCTGACACCTCCTCCTAACAAGATCTCTGACTATTTACACGAAACTGTATGAACTTGCCATCTTTGAGACAAGCACAACAGAGTAAAGTTAAGTGGAAATTACATTAACTTTTCAAAATATTTTTACTTGGACATACAGATAACATAGGCAATACAAACCCACAGTTAAAGGGAAGAAGTAGTGTATACGCATTTTTTAAGTAAGGAAAAGATGTGGGATTTATGAAATACGGATTTTTTTTTTTTCTTTAATTACTTCAGAAAAATGACAGAGCAAGGTGTATGCCATTCAGCTTAAGGCACCAACTTCTACTATCATAAAGCAGAACTATTTTTTTTTTTCCTCAGAACTTTTCAGAAGTTTAGCTCCATTCCTACTTGTTAAATGTGTTGAGATCCTTCAGCTGGAAAGCAATACAAACATTTAGAGCTGTATGTGCATGTAGAAAAGAACAGATAACTAAGGCACCTTTTGTTCTAAATGAAGACACCTACAACTATTATAGCTGATAATTTCCCCCATATACATAACAGTTATCCTTATTGCATTTGGTTTCTCCTATTCATACAGGTTTTCCAAGAAGTAACGGGATGAGGGTTAGAGGGAGGCAGGGAAGACATTGAAGTAAAGAGAAATCTAATGCCACAAAAGTTATCAGGGCATTAAATGACTCAACTTAAAAAAAACCAAACAACAAAACACCAACACCCCCCCACCCCCCCCGCCCCATCGCTTAGTTTAAACAGACCTATTTGATAGAGATCAATGGTCCCACGTTAAGTCTGTGTTAGAAAAAGACAACATGAGTGCAGGATAGTCTCAAGGACACCAGCTCGAAACACAGACTCAACTGAGCCGAGCGATGGCCCTGTCCAACCAAACCAGTCCAACGTGCAGAATCAAACCATCCTCCAAGAGCTTTTCAGAGCATTACAACAAAAGATTCCTTGAGCACCGCCAAGACGACTGCCCAAAATGCACACCTCATGTTTTAAGCTCCTTTCTCCAAAGGAGGGGCACCTTTTCACCTATTCACCTAGTCTCTTTTCCTCGGTAACTACACATAGAGTGTCCCAGCCAGAAATAGCACAGTCTTAGAACTACAGTGACACCCTTCCCACTACCTGAAAGACATAACTGGATATACAGCAGATGGACTCAACTTAATCCCTCTCTTTGAATAACAGGTATGCCATTAAACGTGTATACACCCAAAATGCTGGCCAGCTCACGCATGCCAATCCCCTATGCAAGCATGCACTAATATGGCAACTCCGAAACAAACAGCTGATGACACATTAGGCAAGTGAAATTAAAATGTTGTCTGCGTATTACTGAAAATAATTATGCACATTAAGACACTTGCTATCTTATAGATAACAGCATCAAATTTAGTTGAAATACAACAACGGCTTCAAAATTAAGCGGACAGATAGGGCCTTTGATTGCATAAGCCTTAGGAACCTATGGGTACAGCAGCACAGAAGTTAATTAATTGAAGAAAAAAAGGTTGCATACAGACTCCACGAGGAATGGTAGTCCTCTTTCCTCCTCCCCCCAAAAGCACACTTTTCATCTCAGAAGTCTGGGAAATCCACTCTGATCGAAATAAGACATGTGTAGCTAATCAAGCCTCTCCTTATTCTGCTCCACCTGCAAAGCCAGATCTCTTCAGCATTCAGTCCTCCCATTTACAAATTTTGGCCCGTAAAGAACAACGTCGTGCAAGACAGACAACCTGAATCCCAAAGCAAAGCAAACAAGAGCCATCTCAGGCCAACCTAACCCTGTCTGAACACCGTACGGTAAACTGATGCAGCAGTAATCAAGTGTTTCATTCAAAAGCCGAAAAGGAGACAAAGCAATCCAGGGAAAGACAATCTATAGTCCCTCCAAAGGCAGGAAAAGACGCTCAAGATGAATTACAGCGCATGTTTTATCGAATGCACTTGAGCTTTTGAACTGCAGAAAAAAATCCTACTACTGCTAACCAATATCTTAATGAAGCATTTAAGTGAAAACCTTTATCCCATAGTGTTTCTTATCAGGTACCCAGAACTCCGGGCTTATGTTCCTGCAGCAGGAGAAACCACTTACGAACAAAATAAAGTTCGTTCACTGTTGTACCATTTTGGTTGGTTCAAAGTTACTTATTTCTTCAAGAATGAAGTGCAAAGGTCCTATTTTAGAGGTTAAGTTGTGTATAACCTTTCTAGTTACATGTAGGCTGTTGACATTATTTCTTTAGAAAGAGAACCCTGAAGTTTTGGTATATAAAATGGCACTGAAATCATCAGGAATTTTTCCTGTGCTTTAACTTTTACGGTGAGCATAGAAGTCCCTCTGAGCGAGACCCAAAATCCCACAGCTTCCTAGTCTGAGGCTGTACTGGCACTAATAGTTGTAGGCACGGCACTTCAGTACGAATGGTCGGGATGCCCAAGGAGCCAGCTAGCTCTGAAGAATCCCTGCCTTGCTGATGATGACACCCAGAGGAAGCGATGCCTGAGCTCAGCCCCCCAGGCTCCGTCCCCTCTGCGTCCACGGGACCAGGGCTGGAGCACAGCTGGGGAGCAGCTCCTGGAAGTTCTGGAGGCCCCTGGCCGCCCTCCAGCCTCCTGCATTTCTTCCTTCTACAAAGGTGGGGAGGGAGGAGAGGACGTGGTGGGGAAGCACCGCAAGCAGCAGCTCAGCATCGCAGCGAAGCCTCCCGGGCACACACACTACGTTCACCAGAGGCGCTGAGGCTGAGGTTGCTCCAGGCCCTTCACGTTAGCTTTACTTCAGAATTATTCCACAAAACCAGTGGAGTAGGAAGGGGTGGTCTTTGTTAAGCTAGGTTGGTGAAGCTCCCCAGCCTCCAGAGACAAGCTCCCCTCCTGCACCTGAAATTATTCCAGGCCACTGAATTATGACATGACAGAAGTTAGAGATGGAAGAGTCGGCTGAGCTATGACTACCATTCTGACTTAACATCCTCGCTAGCCAGCCTGTGGGGAGCACTCTACATATAGAGGAGGTTCCTCCTCTTTTCCCAGTTTCCTACCTGAATAGAACCTAGCACTTCTTGATTTGCTGAAAACGTTCTTCGGTTCCCAAACACACTGCCACTTGTATACTACAGCAGAAAGCAGAGTATAAGTGATTAAACGGACTACAAAGAACGCAGAAAAGCTCCCGTGACTTTACCCAACAGCTATTTGTATTTCAGTGCAACTTACTTCACTTTGTAGTAGTATTAAGTCTGAAAGTAGTACTGAAACTCCCCTTGCTGTGTTATAGCATCCAGCAGTGTATATAACATACAAAATGTTTTTTACCTACTATTATAAACACCATGCAAGCTGAAGACACAGCAGGGTGCGGTTAACAGCTGGAGACTTAATTCCAAATCTAGCTGGCAAGTTTAGGCTACATGATAAAACCCTGTAGACATTTTGTCTGATAACTGATGAACATCAGCACATTCTCAAACAAGTTGTTCCACTCTCCCAAATACCCAGAACAATTAAACGCCAAGTCACATTTTGTTTTTAAAATAGTGGGTCAAATAATTTAAGTAATTTAAATGCATCAAGTTACTAAAAGTACGTCCTGTTAGTCATGCTGCATTAGGAAAATCTATTTACTGTAAAGCAAAGTGAGAAAAATACACCTACAGCTGCTAACACTGTGGATTAAAAATTATATTTCTCCAAGTTAGCTAACACATGCACGCACTATTCACTATTCAGACCAGCACCTACCAACTACCTTGAAGCCAAGACAGAAAAAGATAGTTTGAAGACTTAATGTGTCAAAACACATCAGAGCGAGGAAGGATTCCCAGCTTCCAACAGTACAAAGCATTCCATTCTAGCCCGGGAGGTTGAAAATATATCTGACCATAAATAGCACACCATTCAGATAGCCATGTTGGGGTTTTTTGTTTTTTTTTTTTTTTTCCTCCCATACTAAAATATTACCAGAATTCAAGTATCTGCTATCTCAAAAACTGATCAAAGACAAAAATATTTAGATTCAGACAAGGGCCCCAACCTTGGAAACATTTATTCATGTGCCTAACTTTAGTTCCGTTTACTTCAGCATCACATGCCTGAAATTAAGCTTGTGTGTGTTTGCACGATGCAAGTATAAATTACTACAACTTGTGTCGAGATGAGTAAGAAATATTGTGAAACCCATACAAAAGAGAACAGCCAAAAACTGCTTGCTTGACAGAACTAATCTTTAATTAGGAGATGAACAGTTGCAATAGAAGCTTCTTCATTGCTTTATTAGTTTCATTTAAATAAGACGTTGCTTATTACAGACAAACGCTCCTACAGAATTCTAAATTTGAAAGAAAAGCAGCAAAAACACCCCAACCACCCCAAGCCCAGGAGAGATGAGAAATATTACAGATTCAACCATTCGTCTTTTTTCACACACTTAGAAAGAGACGAGGAAAACCAAAGGTTAACTCAAAGTCCGATCAGCCCTACCCATAAAACCCCCAAA